TTTTAGATGATTTAATTTAAAAGAAAATGGATGATCTAATTTTTATTTAAAAAGTGTAAAGTGGGTAAAATTTTGAAAAAAATAATGGATTAGTGATTTTGTGTATTGGATTATTGATTTAATTATATAAAAGTTTCAAAATACTCTCCTCAACTGTTCAATATTCTTTAAATTAGTCAAAATTTTGTCTATATTTACATATTTTTTCAGTAAGATTTTGATAACTGAAAATTCTCAATAAATGATTCAGATTGCTTCTCTTATTCTCAATATTTTTATTTTTCTCATTTGAGATCTCCCATATAAATTAAAATTTTATAAGAAGCGTAGGAAGTATTTTTACAAGTACATATGCACAAAAGTGAACATGTGTTAACATTTCATTATAAGATATGTTATTAAATGTTAACTTGTGCAATCAAAGTCTGATTTTTATGTCGTGATAAAATTTCAATTTCAATCCCAGTTTTTATGTATACAAGGGTCAGGTTCAGTTAAAATATTACGAAAATAAAAAAATTAAGGAACAACCTAATAATCATTCATCTGGACTGTATATATATACACATAAGTAATTTATCTGCTATGCACGTGTCTATAACATGCATATGTGCATAAAAATAAGAAAACATTACAAATGTACATACCGTATATATGAATGGTTAATGAAACGTTCTTTTAGTTTTTTATTTTTGAAGAGTTTATTCTTGAACCTCGCCCTATAATATATATATATATATATATATATATATGTAATTATTTATATGTGTGTATACATATCTATATGTATTGATACATGATTTTGTTATTATTTTCTTGCATTATGATGTTTGTTTTGATAAAAATAATGAAAATATGATTAGAGAAAGAATGTTAAAAGCTTTAGAGGAAGAGGGTCATAACTCATAACAAAAACACCGAGAAATGTAAATAAAAAAACAACTTTAATAACTATATTATATTTTTTTTAATAAAATAATAAAATTAAAATTACATTCAATTTCAACAACTATTATATTTTAGTAATTCTGTCATCAATTATATTATTAAAATATTCAATAAATTAATAAAATATTATTTCTCTCTTCTAAATATTCAACAAACTAATAAAATATTATTTTTCTATTCTAAACATTCAATTTAAATGTCTCGTGTTGGTAAGAAATAATTTCTCTCTTAAATATGAAGTTTAGAGATTTCTTCAAATTTATAGTATTTAGCATACTGTTGGAGCAAAAAAATCTTCAAAATTTCTTTTTTAGTATAACTCTTGGAGATGCTTTTATACTATTGTTCACTTACATGGTCTATTAACTATTAGAAATATTCATTTTCTATCATTTACTTTTAAATTTCACGATTTAAGTCCCTCCACATGTTCATTTGTCTCGTGCTTGATCTAGAGGTCTTTTCGGGTCAGAATTGAACTAAAGCTAGGAAATAAAATAATAGAACTGAAAACCAAATCCGTCTAGATCGGCTTAGTTCAGGTTTATTTTGAACTGAATATATATTTTATATATTTTATTCTGAAAACACATGATCCCTCTGGCACACTTACACCATTTATGTCTCATGTCTCTTACAATCTAGGTCAAGTTATCTCTAAGAAAAAAACCATCCATTTGTCATATGTAATAACCTAAAGTGTTACTTTACTTCAAATTTGCTTTAAAAACACAAAGTTGCATGCCAATAGTCTTGCTAAATGTGGTTCACCATATTTTTTAGACTAAGAGGCCGTTCACCCAATTGTTTACCCGGTAAACGCTTACCGATAGGAGTCAACATTATGATTTATTTTTATGCGTAATATTTTAGTATATTAAAACATATCAAATGGAACAATTTAGTGGGCTTACCTGGGTAAGAGTCGTCATCCTCACTTACCGAGTAAAACTCTCCATCGTTCTCATTGCTCTTACCCGTCAAGATTCTTGACTTTTCTCATGTTCATCCGATGAAAAAATTCATCCGCAATTACTTACCAAACAAGTGTTTAGTAAACGGTCCCAAATATATGTTTGTTTATATTTACGAAATTAAAGTCTTATTAAGATCGATCCGTTACTTCACTTTATAAATCGTCTCAACAAACTTTTGGCCCCACCTATGCCAGATGCCAAATGACTTGCTCATCCCAATCCAACACATTTCCATTCAATTAATATAACCCTTATCAACATCCATTACATATGGGGGCGGATTTAGCCCCTAAGGAACGGAGGAAAGGCCCTCAGTCAAAGACCCAAAATATTTATTGACTAACTTAAATTTTTTTATTTTTACCTTCGTCTTATATGGTTTCTCTCTAGTCTCATATGTCCATATGCTTGCCTTCCCCAAGTCTCATTCAACATGTCCTCACCCCTATTAATTTCCTGAATCCGTCATTGATTACATAACCACCAATCCCCTCTCAACTTTGCTCATCTAATTTTCAACAAATAACATTTCTCATGTCCACTTAAATTCATGAATTCCGTTAAACAATCTAAACGATTCCGTTAGTATCTATAAAATAAATCCAAACCTAACATACCCAAAATGCATCTTATAAAAAGTTCAAGGGCCACAAAAGCAAAATGTATATTTCTATAGGCCCACAAGAATGAAATAAAGAAAATATAACCCTATATATATATATATATATATATTCAAGACATACATACACTCAATATTCTCTCTCCTATTTATATATATTTATATATATACACCCAAGGTTATCTCTCTCTCTCTCTCTCTCCATATGTATATATATTACTCAAGAGCAACTCGTTTTTTTGACCTATGATATCATATTTTTATACTTAGAAATTTCATTGTGAAGGTAAAAAAATATCCAAACTTTCATACGAAGTGTTTTACTATAAAGTTTCAAGTGTAAAAAGATGGTTCCATGAAACTCAAAAAAACAAGTTGATATCAAGTTTACAGGACAATCAAAATCAGCCGTAATTAAATTTGCAATCTTAGGGTTCTCACTTATGATTTGCCGATCGGTGGATCGACGAGATATTTTGTGATAAAATTGCTTACTTTCTGTGACTCGTTCATCATCATTTCTGTAGGTGATCCGTTATAACGAAGTTGGTGACGATGACGATGACGATGACTTCACATTCTAGTTCTCCGAAGCTCTGTGCTAACACCAAATGTAAGAAAATATTGCAAGTGACGAGACCGAGCTGGAAATGTCCCAACGGTTGTTTCGTCCGTCTTTGTGATGAATGCTCGTAAGCTCCTTTTACTCATCTTTGATCATCGTGATCAGTTGCTTTTTTCGATGGTTGTTGTTGTTGCTTGTATCGTAAGGAATTTAATCCCCTATTGAATTTTATGTGTTTTAAACTTGATATAGTTGACAGATTTTACGATTCGAAGAAGATTGGTTAATGGATACAATTTACGATATTTCCTTGTTTGTATTCTTGATCGTATTTGGAAAATGTTGCTTATGAGTTATGCATGATCCATTCGAAATCGCATTCTTACTTACTCGATCTTGCTAAATTTGATTCTTGTTTCAGGTTATGCGATTCTTGTTTAAACCCTCAAAGATCCATCTCGGTAAGGACGATTTTGACCCATATGGTTGTTTTTATCGATCATACACACACACATATACACACACACAAATGATAAGAAGAGTTAAAGATGAGAATCTCTTGATCACTTTTAATCTCAAACCTATCTATGAATTGCACGATGCGATCCATCTCGGTGGATCTCATCTCGGTGCATCACAGTCTAATGTGTATCCAAGGATGGAGATCTTTTCTTACCCTTCTCATTAATTTTCTTTCTCACTAAAACCCAATCATACATACATATATATATATATATATATATACATATATATATATACATACATACATATATATATATATATATATA